GGGCGGGGCGGAGGCCGGGGCCGCAGGCGCAGCCGCTGCTGGAGGCGATGGCGCGGGCGCGGGCAACAGCGAGACGAGCGAGACGAGCGAGACAACAAACCCGGGCAACGAGCCGTACCTCGGCCGCGTGGATGAGCTCGATGCCGGCCCGCTCGCGCACACGAATGGCGCGGACGAGGGCGATCTCGCCACGGGCAGAGGCGAGGCGGGCAACATGACGCCGCACGGGATGCATAGCCGTCCCGAACCCATCAGCTCCACCACGGTCATCAAGGACGACGAGCGCGAGATTGCGCCCCTGCCCGCTCGTGCCGAGGGTGTGGATGGCGGCGACGCCGTCATGGCCGATGCCGAGGTGAAGGAGGAGGACAAGGCGGAGAAGGAGGAGAACCCGGGTGACAAGGAGGAAGCGGTCGAAGCCAAGCCTGCCGATCCCGCCGAGACTTCCGAGACTAAGGATGGCTCCGAGACTGTTGCCGAGAAGGCGGAGGAGAAGCCGGCCGATGCCCCCGCGCAGGCTGACGCGGAGAAGGATAAAGCTTAAGTAGTTATTAGGTCATGTACACTACCCCGACACCTGGCCCCGCACCGTTGCAACTGTTCATTTCTGCATCTTCTGCTAAGCTTATTCTACTGAATGTCCTTTCGCTCAACGCCCGCGGCTACCAGAGCTTGCACTGCTTCTCGGGGTTCATCCTAGTGCCCTTCTTGCACTGGAACGCCTTGTGGAACGCGTCGAGGTTGCGGAGTGTGCCCGTCGCGCGCCAGTAGGGGGGCGAGTGGGGGTCGGTCCTGATGCGCGCGACGGCGGTAGCGGGGCGAGTGACCTGGGCCCAGCTGCGAGCAAAGGCGATGAAGAAGAGCTGCTCCTCATTGTAAGCGAGGCCAGGGAGGTGGGCGGGGGACGGCTTGTCCTCCTCCACCTTGCGCCAGGCGTTGTACGCCTGCTTGAGCCCAGAGTCGCCAATGTCCTCGCCATTCGTCAGGTTGCCGTTGACGTGCACCTTGTTGCCCTTGTCGTCCAGCACGTAGTACTGCGAGTACTGCTTGGCGATGCACTGGGCGCGCTTCTCAAAGTTCTCGACCGTGCGGTTCGTCCACCAGTCGCGAAGACGGCCCTTGTCGTCGTACTGCGCGCCCGAGTTGTCGAACGCGTGCGTCAGCTCGTGCGCCGCAACGGCACCAAAGGAGCCATAGTTCAGGCTCTTCGGCCAGTTGTACGAGTAAAACGGCGGCTGCAGGATACCCGCCGGGAAGACGATCTCGCCGTCAGGAGGACTGTAGTACGCGTTGACCGTCTGCGGGTACATCTCCCACGAGTCGCGGTTGCGCTCGCGGCCGAGTCCGCCCCAGGTGCGCGCGTTGTTCGCGAGCGTCGCAGCAATGTTGTTGTCGAAGTACGTGTCGGGCTTGATGTCCACGGCGCGGTACCAGCTCTTGAGCGACTCGGGGTCCTCGGTGTTAGGGTTGAGCGGGTAGCCGACCTTGGGGATCAGGGCAGAGGCCTTCTTCTGGGCAGCCTTGGCGCTCTTCTCGTCCATCCACTTGATGTGCGGGAGCTCGTCGTGGAACTCGTTGACAATGTTCTGGATGATGCCCGTGGCGTCCTCCTTCGCCTCCTTGGAGAAAGCAGCCTTGACGTACTCACGGCCAGCGATGAAGCCGACGAGGTCAATGGAGCTGAGACACACGTCCTGGCGGTCCTGCATCTGGTCGGGCTTGATGCCCTTGAGGAAGTTGGAGAGGCGGTGGCCAGCGGCGAACAGAGGAGTCTTCGGGCCAAGAGCGCCGTACCACTGGAGAGCGAGCTTGGTAACAAAGTAGGCCGAAAGAACAGGGTCAGACACCTCGCTAACAAGCTTGTCAATAGACTTCAGGTAGGGAGGGTACGTGACGGTGATCTTCTGGGGGCGAGTGCGAGGCGCCATGGCCGCGAGGTACTGGCCAAGGTTGAGGAACGACAAGTACTGGTCGACAGCGGAGGCAGGGATGGGGTTGTACGAGTAGTGGGGGTTGAAGAGGTACTCGAGGTCGGCACCGGCCTTAACAATCTGCCGCTCAAACTCAACAACCTTAGTGGCGAGCTTCTTCATGCGCGACTCGAGAGGCTCCTCGGGGGCAGGCTCGTCGTCGCTTCCGGGCCAAGGCCACGGCCAGGTCTCGGCGCCCTCCTCAACAGCCTCCATAGCACCCTCCGCAATGGAGGTCAGGAGGTCGCGCTGGCCCTTCTTGCCGCCACTAGCAACAGCGGTGAGCATGTCCTCGACGACCTGGGTGTAGAGGTCCATAATCTCCGGCTCCTCATAGTACTCCTTGGCGGGGAGACCACCGAACGACTGGTAGAACCAGAGAGACTGGATCTGAGAGTTCTCGCCTCCAGCGTCTCCCTCGATGGCAAAGTTGAACAGAACATCAACGTCGCGAGCATGGAGGAAGGCCAAGACATCGGTGATCTTCTCAGTCCTCTTCCTGTTTCCAGAGTCGCCACCGCCCAAAGCGGCGAACGCCGGGCGGGAGGAAGGCTTCTCAAGACCGTGGTGGTGGCCAACACGGATGCTGGCCAGGATCTCGGAGTTCTGATTGGCAACCGCGCGAAGAGACTGAGGGATCTCGTACGCCTCGTTCCACTTGCCCAGGTACGAAGGCGGAGCGAAGGAAGTGTCGTCGCCCTCAAGAGGGACGTTGAATTCTCCAAAGGTGTTGAGAACGTGCTTGACGAGGGGCTGGATCGGCTTGTCTCCGAGCTCGTTGAGAAGGTCCTCACGGTCAGCTCCGGTTAGATGCACAATAGCTCACCGTGTTCATGCAGCTGAGGTAGGTGTCCTTCAGCTTACGGAGGTTGTCGTGCTCGGCATCCAGGGCGTGAGACTCTGAAGAGGCAGGAATGCTGTCAATGATCTTGGTCAGGATCTTCTTGTTGTTGTCCGAGACAGTCGTAAAGGTCCCGACGAGAGCACGGTCAGCGGGAATGGGGTGGCTCTGCAGCCAGCCGCCATTCGCGAACTCGTAGAAGTCATCGCAAGGGTCAGCCGAGGTGTTCATGCCCTGAATGAGAGAGGCAGCGGCGAGGACGCAGTCAGGAGTGCTGCAGACCGACTGCTCGGTCAGCGAAAGAGCGTGGGAGAGTACCACCGAATCTCGTTCCCACTCACATTGTCGTCATGATGATCACCGGGGTGGTCGTCATGGTGCTTGTGGTCCTTCCTCAGGTGCGCCTTGGTAGCGATGTAGAGGCCAATGAATGTAGACGCAACGATCAAGAAGACGATCGCCAGCGAGCCGAGAATCAGTTCACGGGTAGACATGCCGGTGTCATAGCCAAAGATCTTGCGGCTACGACGCGTCTGGACGGGTCCATGGTCGTGGTCCTCCCCAGTGAGAAGGGGAGCGTTCTCTGCTGATTAGCGACGGGCAGGATGAGCATTCTTCTCACCTTCGTCGGTCGACGGACGTGGATCCGCCATGTTGGTGGGTGGTTGTGGTGGGATGGACGAAGGAGACTAACGGGATGTCACGGCGTCTCGTGAGCTGGGTCTAGGCGAGAGCCGTCCGGGTAGAACGGCGTGAGGCCCCATGACGCAATTGCCACCGCTCGTCGCCGTCTGCGCACACTGATGAGATGAGCAGCCGGCACTCGTTACGTAAACTGACACGGAATCATTCCTCCCATTCAATGCGGGTCACGTGTGAGCGCGCCTTCTCGCCCTCGACGCGTCGCGACGCGCGATTCTACATGAGAGCAACAGTCACTAGTTGGCGGAAAGTCAGCTCGCCCATTCCCACATCGCCGACCATGTCGTCCCCCTACCCCCACCCACTCCCGCCGTCATCGGCGCCGGGAGGCTCCCCCCCGCCCTCCTCGTCTTACCCGACCTCTCGTCCGGTCATTGACCCGCTCGCTTTCGACGATGTGCACGGTCTCGGAGGCTCTCGAGGCGGCGCCCCTCGAACCGAGGCTCAGACCGGCGAGGACATCACCGAAGGATCAAACAGGCCACGCCGGACACGATTTGAGGACACCAACGACATTCCCCGTGTCAAGGACACGACCGGTGAGAAGGTCACCGAGTCGTTCGAGATGTTCTTGGAAAGGTGAGTAATATAAACAATGAATCATGACTGACTGGGAAGCTTCACCGAACAAATCGCGTTCCCGGACACACCTGCTTCGTTCGGGGGAACGCAGAACGATGACGAGACCAAGTTCTACATCGAGCAGATCCACGCCATGAAGGATTTCGAGTTTACGACGCTGTATGTGGATTTCAGCCATCTCCTGGATCGTGAGCCCGTTCTTGCCCAGGCGGTTCAGGTCCAGTACTACCGTTTCCTGCCATACCTCCGCCGCGCTCTCCAGAACCTGGTGCGCAAGTACGAACCGACCTACCTCTACATCGCCGCCAGCTTCACAGATGCTCCCAGTGTCTCGGCGTCCTCGCTCCGCTACCGCGAGTTCTCGATTGCGTTCTACAACATGCCTCTGACCTCTGGCATCCGCGACCTCCGCATGGACAAGGTCGGCCAACTTATCAGCATTAGCGGCACCGTCACCCGAACCTCTGAGGTCCGACCAGAGCTTATCAGCGGAACTTTCAAGTGCGGCGTGTGCGACACTCTCCAGTACGATGTTGAACAGCAATTCAAGTACACCGAGCCAATCATGTGCCAAAACGCCACCTGTCAAAACCGCAAGTTCTGGCAGCTCAACATCGAGCAATCCAAGTTTGCGGACTGGCAGAAGGTGCGCATTCAGGAGAATGCCAACGAGATCCCTACGGGGTCGATGCCTCGCTCTCTCGACGTGATTCTGCGTGCTGAGGTTGTGGAGAAGGCTAAAGCCGGTGACAAGTGCACCTTTACTGGTACCTTCATCGTCGTTCCCGATGTTTCGCAGCTTGGTCTGCCCGGCGCGAATGCGGAGATGATGCGCGAGAACCGTGGCCGTGGTGACGGCGGCGTCGCTAGCCAGGGTGTCACGGGTCTGAAGGCACTCGGAGTGCGTGACCTCCAGTACAAGACCGCGTTCCTCGCTTGTATGGTGCAGAGCTCCGATGCTCGTTCCGGCGGTGCCGACGTCCGTGCTGACCTCGACGGCGAGGACGAGGACCAAGAGGCTTTCCTGAACACTCTCACCCAGCAGGAGATCGACGAGCTCAAGGTCATGGTCGGATCGGACAACATCTACCAGCGCCTTGTGTCCAGTATCGCTCCCACGGTGTATGGCCATGAGATCGTCAAGAAGGGCATCCTCCTCCAGCTCATGGGTGGAGTGCACAAGCAAACGCAGGAAGGCATTCACCTCCGTGGTGACATCAACGTGTGCATCGTCGGTGACCCGTCCACTTCCAAGTCCCAGTTCCTGAAATACGTTTGTGGTTTCCTCCCCCGTGCCGTTTACACGTCTGGTAAGGCGTCGTCGGCCGCTGGTCTCACTGCCGCCGTCGTCAAGGATGAGGAGACCGGAGAATTCACCATCGAAGCGGGAGCTCTCATGCTTGCGGACAACGGTATCTGTGCCATTGACGAGTTTGACAAGATGGACGTCGCCGACCAGGTCGCTATCCACGAAGCCATGGAGCAGCAGACCATTTCGATCGCCAAGGCTGGTATCCAGGCCACGCTGAACGCTCGTACCTCCATTCTCGCCGCCGCTAACCCCATCGGCGGTCGTTACAACCGCAAGGCGTCCTTGCGTGCGAACGTTGCCATGTCGGCTCCTATCATGTCGCGTTTCGACCTGTTCTTCGTTGTTCTCGACGAGTGCAACGAGAACGTCGACCTGCACATTGCGCAGCACATCGTCAACGTCCACCGCTTCCGTGACGCGGCGATTGCCCCCGAGTTCAGCACGGAGGCCCTTCAGCGTTACATCCGCTATGCCAGGACGTTCTCGCCCAAGCTCACATCTGCGGCGTCGGCTGTTCTCGTGAACAAGTACGTTCAGCTCCGCCAGGACGAGGGCGGCCCCGGAAAGTCAAACTTCCGCATTACTGTCCGACAGCTCGAGTCGATGATCCGTTTGTCGGAGGCCATCGCTCGCGCCAACTGCCAGAATGAGATCACGCCCAACATCGTTCGCGAGGCTTACGCTCTTCTTCGCCAGTCGATTATTCATGTCGAGCAGGACGACATTGACTTTGACGACAAGGACATGAACGGCCAGGCCGCTCCCCAGATCGAGGATGTCATGGACCAGGAGGAGCTCGACGCCGCCGACATGGCCGCGCTCGACCAGGCCGAGTCCAGCTACAATGCGGTCACGACTACGGATGGCAGCTCGAGCGTTCCTACTGCCCCTCCGTCCAAGCCCAAGATGCGCATCACCTACAACAGGTACATGGAGATCATGAACCTGATCGTCCTTCACCTGTCCGAGGTTGAGCGCTAGACGGGCGAGGGAGTGGATCGCGACGAGCTTGTCGAGTGGTACCTCGAACAGAAGGAACACGAGTTTGACTCGGTCGAGGACCTGGAACACGAGCGTGAGCTCATCGGCAAGGCACTCTCCAAGCTCGCCAAGGACAACTACCTGCTTGAGCTTCGTGGTGAGGTCCGAGACGACCTGCCCTCGGGCGAGACCGGGGAGAGTGCGGAGACGACATCGGATAAGATCCACTACGTCGTGCACCCTCAGGTCGACCTCAGCGATCTGTCCTCATCTGTACCCACCGTGTAAAGCGAGCAGCAATATAGGACTTGCAGTCCCACTTCTAGCTTGCGATTAGCCGATATAGTCGTTGTATTATTAAGATGTCCGGAGATGCTATGCGTTACATGCTATGCTAAAACTATGAGGGGGGAGCAGCATCCTTCTTGAGGGACTCCTCGAGGCCCTGGAGGGTGCGGACCAGGCCACCACCACCGGCCTGGTTGAGGACGCCGAGCAGCTGTCGGCCGGGCATCTCGAGGAGGCCGAGAAGCTGGGCGCGGAGCTGGTCGAGCTCGGGCAGCTGGGCGACGTCCTTGATCTGCTTGGGGTCCATGAGACGACTTCCCTCAAGGACACCAGCAACGAGGGTGAACTCGGGGTTCTTGACGACCTCGTCCTTCTTCTCAGCCTTCTTCGAGTTCTTCTTGATCGTCGTCTCGATCGCGGCGAGGACCTGCTTGACGTATTTCGGCGAGATCGTCGGGCAAGTAATCAGCGCTGTCGGTCCCTGGAGGTGGGACTCGAGACCGGCGACTCCGATCTGGACCGAGCGGACGACAGGCGCAAGAAGACCCGTTCGCGTGATGGTCATGACGGCGCGCTCTGCCTCGGGCGCTGGTGATCCCTCGGCGGCCTCGGCGGCCGTAGCGGCAGGAAGGGCGGGGACGGGAATCTTCTGGATGGCATGTCGGATCTGCTGCGACTGCGCGACGGAGAGGTTCTGGTGCTTGAACAGGAGCACGAGTTGCGACCGCTGCAGGAGGTGCTCGTAGTACTTGAACAGGAACGCCTTGCGCTCGGGGTAGACGCGCCCCGGCTGCGTGCTCGCGAGCGCCGGCTTCTCGGCCAACGTGCTAGCGGCGCGCCTCAGAATGTTCACGGCGGGACGGGGCGGCATGGTCGGTCGATGTCGATCCGGCGGCGGTCGGTCGTCGGAGTCGCGTTCGAGTGTGTTGCTGAGCTCGCCGCGGACAGGTCTTGGAAAAGTCGGATGGACATCAGTAAACGACCGTCGCGTGGTCCGAAATATGCCGTGTGGTAAAACCTCAAGCAACACGTGGTTGCTTCACCCAGGGAGACGATTACGGAATCAAATGTATCACACCTGGCCACCGTTCATCTGCGGTTACGCGTTGATCGATGACGAAGGAACGTCTGGCCACAAGGCTCTGTAAGCTGTCCTCTGCGCTCTCAACAACACATCCCACCATGAGCAGCAGCATGGACGTCGACCCGTCCTCTTCCGGATCCAACCCGCTTCTCTTCCTCGAGAAGCAGGAGGCCGCCGCCTCGCCGCAACTCAAGCCGTACTGGACCAAGATCCGGACAGCGTATGAGAAGAAGTAAGCTCAGCGGTCACCCAACGATAGCTGACATTGCAGGCTCTGGCACAATCTGACTGTTGCTCTGATCGAGTTTGTTTCCCAGCCGGGATCAGGACCATTCCAAATTGAGCTGTTCGAGAAGTAAGTGTTGCAGCGAGAACGATCTGCAGCTGATTCCCTCCGGTACTTGTAGCTGACAGCAGGTTCATCACGACGATCGAGAACAAGATCAATGCGCTGAAGCTTGTCGAGATTGCGCGCCGAGTGGGACGGGAGTACTCTGAGCCGGACGCGACGTTGAAGTTCCTCGAGTCGGTGCACTCTCGCCTGCAGTCGCCGTATCCCGTCGAGGCGACCGCCGAGTCACCAGCTGTTCCCGCGCCGCCGCGCCCGGCGCCCGAGGCGTACGCTCTGTCGCTGAGCTCGATCGCGTATGCGCAGTTACTCCTCGGCGACCTGGGGGGGTGCAAGAAGAGCCTGACGGAGTGCGAGAAGCTGCTGAGCGAGCAGGACACGGTTGAGCCGGTCGTGAACGCGGGATACTACGGCGTCGCCGGTGACTACCACAAGGTCAAGGCCGACTATGGACCGTACTACAAGAATGCGCTCCTGTACCTGGCGTGCGTGGACGCGGACCGCGAGCTGAGCGCCGAGGACAAGCGGCAGCGCGCGCACGACCTGTGCATTGCGGCTCTGCTCGGCGAGAACATCTACAACTTTGGCGAGCTGCTGCAGCACCCAATCCTGCAGACGCTGACGGGCACGGAGTGGGCGTGGATCAAGGACCTGATCGGGGCGTTCAACGCGGGCGCGATCGGGCGTTTCGACAGCCTCGCGAACCAGTTTGCGTCCGAGCCGATTCTGGCCGAGAGCATGGCCTTCCTCCGCCAGAAGATCTGCCTGATGGCACTGATCGAGGCGGCCTTCTCGCGTCCGCGCGACGGCGCGACCCGTCTCATGACCTTTGAGCAGATTGCCGAGGCCACCCGCCTCCCCGTCAACGAGGTCGAGCACCTGATCATGAAGGCGCTGAGCCTCGGCCTCATCCGCGGAAGCCTCGACCAGGTCGCGTCCACCGTCGACATTACGTGGATCCAGCCCCGTGTCCTTGAGGGCGCCCAGCTCGACACGCTCGCGGAGCAGTTTGGCCACTGGACAGACGGCGTCGGACAGACCGCTAACGGCGTTCAGGGGCTCGAGAGCGGCGCCCTCCAGAACCTCATCCAGGCGACCGCGTAGAGCAGGCAGTGTACGTAGTGTAGAGATAGAAGGACATGCAGGCAGGATAACAGCATTGGCACGGCCTCGGGGCACGAAGCGCCGAGTAGGAGTGCGGAGGGAGACTGGACCGGGTGCACTCACTCTCGGCAGCAGCAGCCTGATCTTCCAACAGCCGTCGTTTACAGCTTCCCAGTCAGCGACCAGTTGGGCCGACCACGCCTCTATGAGTACACAATGTCGTGCGCAATGTCGGCGTCCAGAGGTGCCTTTAGTGAATTCTTGGCACACATACGAATAGGCTCCCTCATAAGCCGTGAGGTCTGGGTGCCTTGCCGTCACACAACGTTTGTTTACATCGGCACATCTCTTAGTGCAGCACGGTGAACATGACCTTTTGCAAAGTGGCCCAGCTTGGAGCAACGATCACCGAGACAGTCAATTCAACAATCACCGTTGTATGGCAGTCACACCGGTGCTGCCTATCAGTCACTCATCGACGACCGGCCGTTGATTGCAATTGATCAATCAATGAGATATGCGTGTTGAATGGACTTCCATTCCGACGCGCTCCGAGCGCCCGAATGAGGAGAGTGGGACCGTGAAGATGAATGGGATATCCGCAGACCGATGTTATACATGTTATTACGGGAGGATACCTAGGGAAGACACCAAAACGAAATCAAAAGAGTGAGAGTGCGAGAGTGTGAGTGAGCGAGGGATTGTACAACTTGAGCTTGTAAGCTTGTGGACGAGGCAGCGAGGTGTGCGCCGGGTCCGAGTCTATTGCGTGAGTCTGAGCTTGACTTGAAGAGGGCGTGGGCGTGGGCAGGCGGCGTGATGCGCGCCGGCCTGAGCGTAATCTGGACCGAGTGTGAGCGCGTGGGCGGCTCTGGCGGTGCATGAGGGGCATGAGGTCGAGTGAGCATGTGGTACGTGCTGCGAGCGAGTTTGACAGCATGGGTCGAGCGCGATCGAGCGGCGAAGGCACGAGGGGCGGAGTCGGCGGAGTCTAGTGTCTCCACGCGAACATGCGCGGCAGGGCCGAGAGCCTTCCCTTCCTCTCGACCTGCTGCAGCGAGGGGACCTTGCGAATGCGTCTGGCCGCACCGAGGGGCATGGGATGGCTGATGACTGGCGGAGCAGCTAAGGTTGGCACACTCTTGGACAGACGGAGCGTGCGGCGCTTGCTGTGTTTGCTCGCCGTCGAGATCGTGCTGAGGCGGCGGGAGAGCGAGTCTGTCGGCGAAGCGGTGCCGGACTGACAGTGCGAGGAAGTATGCGACGTCGCGCGGCTGCGCTGGCGACTTCCTTGCAAGGACGACAGGGAGGCGAGGTACGCCTCCTCACGGCGCTTCTCGTAGATTGGATCGTAGTCGTCCAGCAGCTCCTCGCACTCGTCTAGCGGTAACGGCGCCTCAAACGAGGCGAGGGAAGGCGGGTCAGGCGTGCTCGGCACACTGCTGACGGACGACTGGATCGAGGGCACCTTAGGCGCGTGGCGGGGAACGAACTCGGGACCCAAGGGGTCAACAGTATTGTACAGCATGACGGGCTTCGAGACCTTGGCCCCGGAGACGCGGCGACGGCTCATCATGGTGCTAGGCTTGAAAGGAGTAGTGAAGTTCGCAAAAGTTGCAGAGCTGGCCGGAGAAGAGAAGACTTTTTGCAAGCCGGTGATCGAGGTCCGGGAATGATAGGCGGTTGGCTCGTGCGGAAAGTGAGTGTGAGGAAGGAAGGCCGGAAAGCTGGGTGCTGGAACCGGTTCCAGACCGGGGGATGAGGAGAGTCGAAAGCGTGTAGATGTCGGTGGGTCTGGTGATGTCTGGTGATGCGAGAAAACACAGAAGGAACGACAATGGTCAAGGTGACGATGAGCAGGAGACTGCACTTCCCGCTGATCAAGTGCGGCATGAGCTGAGACGGAGCGACTGAGACATGCAACGTGAGACGTTGCGCCGAGCCGCACTGGGTCAGCGCATGGTGGTGCAGTCTGCGACGTGCTAGTGCAGGATGCATGCAGGACGCACTAGGGCTCTGCAGGCCGCAGGCCGCTGAAACGGGTCGCAACCGCGTCGCTGACTGGGTGGCAAGGACGGCAAGTGTAAACAAAACGCTACCTGTAACGCGGCCCGGCGCGTCCTATTCAGTCCAGCCCCTGTCCACTCTCGAAAACGGTCAGCTGCACCCAGCCTTCCCTGTGATTCTCATCGTAGACCTGCATTTCTCACCCAGCGCGCGCGCTGCTCAAGGCGCATTGTTCGCCATGTCCATGCGCATCCATGGGATCATGAGGTGGCGCCGGTTCGCTGGCTCGTAGGCCGGTGTTGGCGCCGGTGATTGCCAGACTACCCATGTGCTTTCGGACCGTCGTCCGCCGCGGTAGCGGCGACTAGTGCGACGTTCGACAGGGCCGCGCACCAAGTGACGTCTCCAAGTATCGCATTGCTGCATAGATACGTATCGGCGCTCTCGCGCTCTTGAATGCGAATTCTTGGCTCGCTCATGTTGCTGAGTGACGCGGGCCCGCGATCGGAAGCGATGGATTAAGGCGGGACGCTAGTGCCACCCGTCCACCGAGCGGCGTTTGATGCGAACACGGAATGCTGCTGCTGCACCGGAAAATGTGGCAAGTCGTTACATGCGGAGGGAGTGCTACTCGTCCTCCTCTATCGTCCGGGGTGGGTCGTTACTTTTGTTATGTACAGAGCAAGCAGGGTGTTGCTATTATTGAATGATAAGATAAGGTTGTGGTATTGCGGTGATTAAGGTGGGGCTGGCTTCTCGACATTCTCAGAATGTAAGCTGAGAGGCAGGCGCGACGATGGCCGGCCATCGATCGGGAGTGTCGCCGGGGTGATGCAGGAAGGCGGGTGAGCACGCGATTGAGGAAGACGACTTAGTTCCAGATCTCGCTCTTGGCCCTAAAGTCGCTCTTGCTCTTGAGGAAGTCGCCCTTGAGCGCGCGCAGTCCCCAGCCTGACGAGCGTGTCTGCAGGTTCGAGTCATCGCGAGACTTCTGCGACTTGCTGAATTTCCGCTTGTCCATCTTGAGCTGCCAGTTCTCCATCGCGCGCGACGTGCCGAGAATGGCCTCCGTCAACGTGTCTGCGCCCAGTCAGCTTACAGCTTACGGAATAGGAAGGAAGGCATGGCCTGATAGCCAGAGACAGCGATCCGCAACCCGCAGCCCTGCTTGCTTCTGCACCACTACTGCTGGGAACTGCAAGCAGGGTTCGGAGAGCGAGTAATTAAATCCCGTTACGGTAACCGAGTGGCCGTCTCGTCACCGTTGCGTACGGTGCCTGCATAGGGTAGTCGCTCGTTTCCATCGGCGGCGTCGGCCATCAAGCGCCACCCCGATGCGAACGGCCGTGCGGTTGCTGTCTCTTCGCTCCATGCGCACCTACTCACCGAGGGGGTTGGACTTCTGCGCATGGTTCTTCGTCTTGTACTGCGTATCGCGGTTTGGCCTGGGAGGCTCAGAGAGAACGAGAGGGGTGGAGCGGCCGTTCTGGGCGGAGGCCATGCTGGCGCGGTGCTCGGCGGCAAAGTACTCTGCACTAGAGATGGCACCCGAGCCGGCGGTTGAAGAGGAAGAGTTTGAAGTGGAAGAAGAAAGGAAGCCCATTGTGTCGGGGGTTATGTTAAAGCTGGCTGCTTGCTGCTGCTGAGGAAGGTCGAGTGTGGTAGTGGGTTCGCGGGCCGAGGCCGTGTGTCGAGCGTGAGAACGAAGAGGAGGGTGGGTTTGTGAGGAAGCTCGAGAGGGGTAGAGAGTCGTAATAGCAGTTGTCAGAGTCGAAACGAAGATGGAAAGAGAGTTGTGAGAGTGAGGATGAACGTGAGTAGGGAAGAGGATTTTGCTTCTTGGTTGTTCTGAAGGATGGAAGAGGACAATCATGTGCTTGGGACCTGAGCGATTGAATGAGCTTCGACGAGGCGGACGAGGGGAGTAACGATAGCACGGGTGCTAGGAGCTCTAGGCCGAGTCGGAGAGCAGGCAGTTGCTTGAAGGGGGAGGGAGGTGCCAGGCCCGAGAGTCTATTCACGACTTGACGGCGACGACGACTTCGGGCCAAGGATGCAAGGAACACAGGGAGAGAGACGATTCCGGATGGTCCTCGGAGTGTGGGTGCAGGCATCAGAGCCGAGGAGGCTGATGCTGGCAGAGGCAAAACATATTTCGATCGGGGTCGCGTTCCTGAGCAGATAAGGGTATTAAAAGAGCCTCTGGTGCTCAGCGGCGCCTCGGGGGGTCTGCCCCGGTCCCCTCGGGCCTCGCGCGAGCTCAGGACCCCTTCCACATGCGATCGATCGGTAGCCCGCCCTGATCCTGGCCTTAATCCAGGCGCCAGACGACCCCATTCAGGCGGAATGTACCGGCGGTCTACCGTTCACTGCGTGCACTGCGCCATCGCGCCGCTGACCCCTTGTCCGTTGTTTGCGCTTCTATCCCGTGTGCAAAATCGATAAGGGCACATAAAGGGCAGACGAAGGGCGCACGGCCTTGTTATTCTTGCGCCCTACCTCTCTCCCAAACACCCATTAATGAACATTGCAGAACGATCAGAAGGGAACGAATATTCCTGTGACTAATGAAGTCCCCCTCCTTCTGCCATCTCCGACCAGACCGCGATCAAATACGGGCAGTGCGGGGCTTGACCGAGGCCCTCGTCCGTTCACGGGTCGAAACATAGACAACGTAGCGCTCTAAGTCGCCGGATCGGAAACATCTCCACGGGGTGACGCGTGTCTGAGCGCTAAATGATTAGATCGACGGAGCTCGTCACAGACTTGCCGCAGCGCCGGCTCCCCTGTGCCGCTTCGTCGAACAAATTCTCGTTCACCGACTTCATATCGACGGCAAGCCCATGTCTCAAGAAGCAGATTCTCGAGATGTCTCAGGGGAGTTGTCGGATGTTATAACCTCGTCCAAGCTTATTATAGCGGTGCGTCCGGCACGACCCACAACGGGATCCTGGCCATGCTTGCAATCATGCTGTCAGTCCGGAGACTGGAGAGCTACATAAGACGGAGGGTACGTAAGCTCGTCACGCCCGAAGCGCCGGTGCAGGAGGGAGAGAGTGCGACGACGACCACGTCCGACCGCCTGCCCCCGTGCCTGTACCTTCCGGCCCATCACCACCATGCGTATCAGGCAGCGCCAGCAAACAAGGTTCAAAACGCCCATTGAACTTTCACGTGAGACATTCATTCGGCCTGGTCGTGATGTCAGCTGGAGGCGCAAGGACTCTCCTTCTGTGCGCAAGTGTAACGTCGCTAACGCGATTGGGCCGCGCGACGATCAAAGGTTCCAGCACAGCGGGCAGAGCTAGTTGAGCTTGCTTCCGGCATCGCATGTAGTGCAACCTGATACAGTTAATTTGTCGCATGCAGATTTTGGGTTGGACAGCAGAAAGGGACCCGGGATCGGCTGTGCGTGTACTGCGTGCAGGGGGCCGACATGCATGAACTGGGCACAGACATTGAAGTACGACAAGCGAGTGTCGTAAAGAGTGAACCGCGAGCGACACACCACACTTGTCAGGTCCACCCACGCCGCTGGGCTGCGGTGTACCTCAATATCGGTGCCAAGTGCCTGTCTACCATGGCGCGTACCTGGCACTAACACACCGAAGCTCCCTCCCTTTGTCCACACTGGGTGCATCACGAGGATGTCCGCCAGCTGCGACCGCAGCTTCATGATCCATGACCGGCCCGACGTTCCAGAGATCTGACTGAAGCGAAACGCTCCGCGCAGCTAGTAGCTCCATTGTTCCATCTCGGCCATGTCGCATGTCGCAAGTCGGTATGCTCCGCTAGTTCCACTCGTGCACTCGCCCGAGTCCGCTCGATCGCTGGCGCTTGCCGGCGGCTCTTTGGATTCATTGGAGCAAAGTGTCATGCAGGCGCCAATTCACGCCCCGAAGCGAGGTGACAGCCCAAGGAATGCTATCCCTTCCTGTATTCGAGCCGCCCGCACGTCCTCGCAGCATACCCAGCACTCGTGTGCTGTGATGACGAACCCTGCTGCGGATACGTGAAATGTCCCGAGTGCCCGAAGTGAGCGCTTAAGCGGACGAACTCGATCAATCGTCAGAAGCTAGTCACCGCGTCACCGCTGGCTTGTCTGGCTTGTTGGCTTGTTGGCGCACTGGCGGCGCCGCCGGCAAGGCGGCACTCGCCATTCCCCTTCAACCCTGCAACCCTGGCACATACTTTATCAGCTCGCACCGCGAAGTAATGTGGCGTTCTTGAGTATGTCCTGGCGTCTCGACTGGCGTGCGCAGGTCGTTTAAGATGCGTTCTAGCCTGCTAGCGCTTTGGTCTGCCAGTACGTTCCGTGTACAGGACGTCAGAAGCAAAGTTCTGCATATTCCCACGGTTGTCCTGACCCCTGTGAGCAAGAACAGCAACCGGCCGTGCGAGCAAGAAGGTCATCCCCACGGTGGAGAACAGGACGATGATAAGTTCTAGGAATACACTCAAGCATGCGGACCTCGATTCCATGGCCGCTTGAGCAGGGTAGGTGTTCTTTCATGCCGTTGAGTCCGGGTGAGTGAGGGGTAGGCGACAGCTGCAGATGCCGACAAGCCGAGAGAGTAGACGGAAGTGCGCCCCGCACGCAGCAGCACCACGGAGAGCTCCCATAGGTTCAGAAGATTCTGTGCGTGGGGGTGGCCGCTGGGCCCCGTGTGGCCGTTCTCTGCACTCGCACCTTGCTCTGCAAGAGTTTGGTGGGCGACGCGGTGAGTCACCCAATGAGCACACTGAGATGTGCGGCACTGCGATATCGATTAGCTCTCCATTAGCTCTCGCAGATAATCGATGAGCCGCCGCGATTAGTTTCGCGATAAGAAACGCCACGTGCACGTCGGAGGCTCGGGATCGGATCGGAAGACCACCCCGTACTTACCCTGGTTGAAGCTAGCACGGTGTCCGGTGTCTCGAATACCGATCAGCGTCGGTAAACTATGCTGATTGATCGTTATCGCTGCCGCATAAACGCCCATTACGTTGTCCTCTGAAAGCTCTATGAGCAGAACTGGGGAGTTCTAATGCATCCCGCATTCGAAAAAGAGCAGCTGAAAGTAGCACCAGCTGGCCGGCACGCCGGGTGCTAGATGGCCGTCTTTAGCTGACCGGAAATCCACACTCGGTCAACTCCGGTTGAACCGACTTTGCCGAAACTAGGTGGAGAGAACCGCACGCTGGCCCCGCACACCCGTCCGGGGTATAAGACGACTTGGATGCACACGAGTTTCGAAGTGCCCACACTCACACATCCAGTCTCGTCGCATCCACCACCATGACCAACACCAAGATCCCCACCTTTGACGAGCTCAAGAAGCGCGACGGCCCGCCCCTCAACGCCTGGGGCATCTGGGGCGAGGACAACCAGCTCGGCCAGATCAACCACCTCACGCCAGAGGCTGTCAAGCGCGGCCGTGACGCCATCAAGCACGGCAAGGCCGTCAACCTGAAGTACGTTGACCGACTACCAGCTTACATGGTGAACAGGCGATAGCTGACAGCCAGCCTGAACATGACGGAGTGGCAGTCGATCAACCCGATGCGTGACGGCCTCTCGCGCAAGATCAACAACAAGAAGTTTGCCAACGACGATATTGTCTCCTTCAACACCCAGTTCGCGACGCAGTGGGACGGCTTCCGCCACTTCCCGTACCAGAACTACCCCGAGAAGGGGCAGTACACCTTCTACGGCGGCATGACCGGCGACGAGGCGGCCGACATCAACAACCCCCGCTACGGAGTGCAGAACTACTGCACGCACCCCATCACCGGCCGCGGAGTCCTCCTCGACGTCGTCAAGTACAGGAAGGACAACGGGCTGCCCGAGCTCTCCCTCTTCGACACCTCTACCCCGGTCGGCCTGGACGAGCTCAAGGCCATCGCCAAGGCGCAGGGCGTCGAGTTCAACAGCGGCGACATCCTTATTGTCCGTCTCGGATTCCCGGAGAAGATTCTTGCCATGTCGGACGAGGAGCGCGAGGGTCTCAAGTCGAACAAGAATGGATGGTGCGGCATCGACGCTACCGAGGACATGATCCGCTGGCACTGGGAGAACGAGTTCTCGGCCGTTGTTACCGACGGATACGCGTACGAGGCTTACCCCTCCAAGTACCCCCTCATCGCCCACGAGGTCTTCCTTGGAGGTTGGGGACTGCCCATCGGAGAGCTCTTCGACCTTCGTCAGCTTTCGAAGGAGTGCGCGGAGAAGAAGCAGTACGATTTCTTCGTAAGTTAACCATTCACTTGTCCCCTTCCTTTCTGTCCTCCTGGATACCCCCTTCCACGTTGAGAAGCATGGGCTAACTGGACAGTTCGCGTCGATGCCCCTGAACATTGACGGAGGGATCGCTTCTCCGCCGAACGCGCAGGCTGTTCTTTGATCGATCCGGACGCATAAAACATAGATGTTGTAAGAGGAAATGCAGGCAGTCATCATGGTTAGTGGTCGATGCTGGGTGGTGGGTGGAGGTGGCACGGGGTGGTGTGGCGGAAAAATGGATTGTTTTGACAGCTAGCGCGGCATCGCGGCTGCGGGGTGGAGGTCAGTGTCATTCTTGTGTTCTCTACTGATCTTCTTAGTGCTCCGAGGTCGACTGATATGCAGATGCGGTGGGAGGGATCGATTCCCGCATGTGCATGGAGAACTCCGCTTCGGCCTCCCCCGCATGCCACGACGGACCCCGCCGAGTCTCACCACATGCCCAGCCGAGCGTCTCTGCCGACCCCGGCCCGCGATGCCGGTCTGTGCCGTGTTCACGCCTGTGTCAGACGGGTGGGCTGCTGGGCGTGGCTGGCGTGTGATCGCGCTCGGGCCGCTGACCTCTTGTCTCAGTGGAGGGTGGGGGTGGAGGTGGAGGTGGCACTTCAGTTCACTGAGGCTGAATGCGCCCTCTGCTCGTTCTCATGCTGAATGCTCTCATGATGCATGCCTAGACTTCTTACTGACTTATTGGTTGACCTTACAATGACCTCTACCCTCCGGAACCCCTCGCCATGCGCATAGCTCTACGCCTGGTAGCGGAATTCAGGGTGGCCCTCCAGGACCACATCGCCACGGTCCGCGCGGCGGTTCTGAATCGTCATCCAGACCTTGAACACCAAAGCCATCACGGCTACGAAGGCGTTGAATCCGATAGTGCTCCAGATGCCCGTGGGGTATCCAGCCTTAGCCTCAGACTCAATGAAGAGGACTCCAGAGAGGATTCCACCGACGCCACCAAAGGCAATAAGGATCGCCGAGTTGAAGCCGCGTTTCGACTGCTCTCGAATCGACGTCTGAGCCCAGGCGATAATGAGCGGAACATTGCCTGTCGCCCCTCCGAATGCAAGCCACGTGCCCGCGTAACGCGCAACCTTCTGGTCGTTGCCCAGTTGCGAGAACATGCAGGTTCCGATGATGAGAAGAATGGCGTTCAGGACGATGCCCGCAGCGCGCTGGTGGGTTTTGTCGCTCCACCACGCGATCGCAATTCCGGGGAAAATGCCCCAAATCTTCGGGGGCGCATACAGGATCTGCGAGAGCGCGTTGGAGAAGCCCATTTGCTGCAAGATCGTGGGTAAGAAGAACGCCATGGAGTAGCTAGCGAGCGTCGTTCCGGCGAACATGATGGAGAAAAGCCAAATCTTGGGGTCGATGAGGTAGTTGAGAGCCTTGCGGAGGGTGAGGGGGTCGGGTGTGGCGTCTCCGCGGTCGCGCTGGATCCTGGTGACCATGACGTGACGCTCGTGCTCGTTCAGGAACGTGGCCTTGTCAGGGAAGTCCTGGAGGAAGAAGTATGCGACGACGCCGATGCAGATGGTGAGGAGACCTTCGATGATGAAGATCCAGCGCCAGCCGGCCATGTTGGCGGTGCCATTCATCTGCGAGATGCCCCAGGCGAGAATGGACGACAGACCGCCGATAGCAGTCGAGGTGAAGTAGAACGCAGTATTGCGGGTGGCCATGGACTTGCGAGGGTACCAGCACGCGATGAGGAAAGCGGCACCCGGGAAGAGGGACGCCTCAAAGATACCGAGCAGGGCACGAGTGGCAATGAGCTGCTGCGGCGTCTTGACGAAACCCATGCACATCATGACGATACCCCACAGGATGACCGCGGTCGCGAGCCACCAGCGCACGCCGTACTTCCTGAGTCCGAGCTGGGACGGGATCTCCAGGATGATGTAAGGAATAAAGAAAATCTGGAAACAAGTCAATATCGGGGTCGGGTAGAGGTAGAGTGCCACTCACCATAGTAGCGACGGAGTAGTAGTTGCCCTGGTCGAGGGACAGCTCCTTGTTCATGAGCTTGCCGTTGGCCGAGCGCGCCATGGACAGGTTGGTGCGGTCGATGAGCGAGATGCAGTACATGGCGGCGAGGATAGGGATCAGGTGCAGGTCGACCTTGCGGACGATGCGACGGACCTCCTTCGGGTCGAAGCCCTCGTCGATGTCGGCGTAGGTGCGGATGTACCCCGTCTCCTCGAGCTCATTCTTCATGTCCCGGTCCTCGACATACTGGATAGACTGCTTCTCCGAGTCGATGCCGGAGCTCGCGTTTGAGTCGGGTACTTGCTGCTGGGTCGTCGCCATGGTTGCGGGCAGGCTGGTCCAGTGGGTTGTGGGGCCGACATGTTGCTGCCCGCTCTCTTATGTACTGACAACTATGCACTGTGTTGAGCTTGTTTCTGGCTTTGCGTCAGTGAGATCTAACCCCAGGAGAACCACCGCCGACTGTCGCTAGCCCGAGACAGTGGTCCTGCCAAGGCGGTGGGCAGCATCGAGCGGCAGCCCCCGCAGTCCAGGCGGCTGACCCAGGTGGGGCCATGCACGCCAGGTTATGGCCCCGCAAGTCTGCGCACACCGCGGCTGCTTCGGCTTGGGTGCCAGAAACGGTCTCGAGTCCGGGACCAGATGGGCCTGCCAAGACTTTCTGCTCGACAGGGTTCATTTGTTGAGTAATGATTTGGGCGCCGCGCCACGCATTTCGAGAGTCGATTCCGGCACGTTTCTCTCCTTGCGCGGATTCAACGCGGGGTTCGGATTCCCCTCTCGAAGCTTGTGTTCCTGGTAAGGATCTGCAGAACGTGCATAGACGTGCACGCATTGGACAGCTGGGGGCAATACAGATGCTACAGACTGAAAAGAATACTGAGCGGTGCCTCAGACACTGGGACCCTCGTGCCGCCCAGCGCATTCACAAGTCCGCTCGACCATCTCAAGCCAAATCGCCGGCATTGCCAGCCTAATCCCGGCCCTTCAGCCGCCCGCCGCGAACCGCCTTGCCGCCTGCTGACCACCTGGTGATCAGACGGACTACCCTCTGCATACCGTCAGGTGACGCAGTGCAGGTCGCGTGCCCACGCGTGTGATTCGTTGGTTTTACCGTCAGGGCTCGGGGAAGCCTCATCGACGTCCGGCCTCCACTATGCAGAGATACAGACTCGTCTATCGCGACATTTTGCCCGCAGCGCAAGCGAGGGGCACCCAGGATCGCGGCCCAGAACAAGGTGCAGGATGGGGGGATCACTTGACAAGAGTTCTTGGAAATGCTCTTGTTACGCTGCCGTGCCTGCCGGTTCCTGTCGGTGACCGCCGCCAGTGTGATTGCTTGACAATCCTCGCCAGGATCGTTCGCTGCCAAGTTGACCGCTGGCGGTCTCCACCTCTAGCTCGGTTCCCACAACAGTCACCCTCACGAATATAGAGCCCACATATCTCGATTGCGGGAGTGATTGTGGGCGTTGCATGTCATCGCGTTTGACTGTGAAGCACAGCTCTCGGTCTGCTCCGCTGAATTCGGGCCCCGCTTGCTCTGCGTCAAGCTCCGTTTCCCGGGAACGTGTGGCCCCGGATTTCGCTCCGCCTCTTTCCAAGAGCAACAGCACACAACTTATCTCGGGAAACAACGATATCTATGTTGTTCTGGGGCTGTTATGAGTAAAATCTCGTGAGTCACCATGCGCAGATCATTCCAGATTGATAGCGCGGGCGCCGATGGCTGCAGGAGGCGAAAAGAAGTTGCAAAGAGACGTTCTCACACTCATCGATGATCAGACCACCCTTTTCCCCCCATTCGCTCTCGCACCGTCTGCTGAAGAAGCAACCTCTAACACCATCGTCGACAAGAACTCAACATGTGATCGCATCCACAGAGCAAATGGTGGTGGTGTGCACTGGAGATTCCTCGTTGAGTGGACGTCAGGCTGCGGTACTTGATTGCGGTATGTGGTTGGCCGATTATGGTTGGCTGGCCGGATTTGAAGCCGCTGGCGCTACGGCGTGCTGAGACCACCGGCCACCATGACACAGCACCCCAGCTGTCGTTCGACCTCCTTTTCCACAGCTTCCTTCATCGCTGCATCGATCCTTCGGCCTGTCGATCCACGCTTCCGACTGTCGCTTCTAGACTTCTTGGCTGCGTGCTCCACTAGCCCGTTTCTTGTTTGGCTCCCCGTTTGCTTGTTTCCGGATCAATTCTCTTGATTGCCCACCATGTCCGCCATCCTCCAGGCCATCAGCAAGATCTCGCCGCCTCCCCCCGTCAACGCTCCCCGCGAGTACGACGGCTACGAGTTCAGGTGGAAGATGTTTGTCTTCCGCCCGGCGACGTTCCAGTTCGAGGGTATGATGTTCGCCATTCTCGGCACCTACCTTCTCTTGCACTTCATCGGCAAGGCCATCAACATGGGCAAGGCCAAGAAGATGTGAGTACACACTGCTCCGCTTCCTCAGTCGAGCTGACGACAGTATGGCCCCCATTGAGGCATTCGCTGCTACGCAGTTCAAGGCAGTCAGGCCGATGGAGAGCTCGTCTTCGGCGCTGCACTTGGTCTACGCTACCGGCCGTCGCAACGTTCTCGCGTTCCACGCGTCGCTCAAGCTTTCGACTCTCCACGACGTCATCATGCTTCTCTGGGAGAACATCTACAGCTTCATTGAGCCCACCAAGGCTGAGCAGCCCGGTCTCACCTTCCAGTACACTCTGGGCCGCGGAACCAACGGCCTTCAGGGAGAGGGCGCCGGCGTCTGGGGCATTCTTAGCAAGAACGGCATGGCCGCTGTCCGCGAGAAGCGCTGGGACCTTGTGAGACTTGACCGTCGTCAACTTGACATGCACTAACATCCCAGTCGTTCGCCCGTATCCAGGACACTCCTCTCATCCCCGCTACCCACACTCTTTTCACTGAGCACTCCGAGATCACCGAGGCGCTCCTCAAGACCCCTAACATCGGTCTCTCGAACCTGCTCGCTGACGCCGACTCGATGGACATGCTCAAGTTCTTTATCATCTCCGACGTCTCGGACCGCAAGCCTACCAAGGGCCCTCTGTCTGCTCAGAGCCGTGCTCGACAGATCTGGGTTGCGCTCCACACCCCCTCCAACGGCACCGAGGAGGCCGTCGTCAACGCCTGGAACCAGGTCGCCCTCAACGTTGCTGACTTCCTCGCCAAGAACCCGATCAAGCCTGAGATCACTCGCAAGCTCATCAAGACCCGTCTCGAGGTCGACAACGCTCTTGCCAAGCAGTACCGCAAGGAGCAGGAGGAGGACGGCGAGGTTGAGAGCGCCGAGGACAAGCGCCTCGCGAAGAAGAAGGCTGCCCGTGCCGGCCTCAGCGAGAAGGAGCTGAAGAAGCTCGAGGAGAAGGAGAGGAAGCGCGAGATCCGCAAAATCCAGAAGCGCGGCGGTATGGGTGGCGGTATGGGCGGCGGCAGGTAATGCCTGCGCAGCCCGAAGATCTGAGAGATCTGCAAGAAGACGAAGATGGCGACGACGTCGCACCACAAAGACACATCATCACATAGGTTATTGGGATTCCTGCATCAGCGCTATCCGTATGCATATTCGGGTGAACGGTGAACGGTGAAGAGCGAGCGGCGGGGTGTTTGGCGTTTCCGATCGGTGCAATCTGGCGATCAGGGTGTCTCATGTTTCTCGAGCCTTGCGGCCCAAGAAAGCACTGATAAGAGAAATGAGAGGGCACGTGAGTGGCTGATGAAGCCTTAGTGCGCGGCCGTTTGCAGGCATGGATAAGGTTCCAGTCGGCGGTCAGCGGATACGCGACCCGGGATGGCCGCGGAGCATGGCGAAAACACCGACCTGCCGAACTCCCGGGTCACCGGCGAAGTTGGCTAGCACGGGTCGAGGAATGCTATGGGGTCCGCTCGGAAGCCGCTATCGTCCGCTTGAAGCTGGTGTGACAGAAGGAGCAGAGATCGTCTTGGAGCTGAGCGCTGGTGCAGGTACTCCAGGTGCGAGGACCGGCTATGACGATGCGGAATGGTGATTGCGGGGCATCACGAGCTTCGGCTACTTCTGCAGGACGATGACCCGCCAGGTACTCGAGCGTCACAGACGAGAGCAGCTGACATCTGTTGCTGGCGGGCTGGGAAGCCGACAGGTTCTTCGCGAGGAAGTTCCGGCCCACGTCATGAGCCTCAGCGCAGATCACATTACGCCTCACCTTCTGTCACACCAAGTGTGCTTCAATGACTAACCTGCAACAAGCGGCCACTAACCAGCATGACGGCGGTCAGAGCTGCGGGGTAGCGCTGCATTGCGGGCTTGGCTACGGAGTGACACCAGACTGGTGCAATCAGGCAGTATGCATTGCACCATAGCATGTGGTGGTAGCGTGTATGCTTCTGCCTGCTGGGCGGGGTTTTCGGAGTTATTAGGGTCAAGGCCACGGACGGATAAGGACTCAGGGTCGACCGCGCTCTACCGCGCCTGGGAGTGCCGGCGTAAGTTGCTGGGTATGGTGGGAGGAAATCACACACTGGCGGGGCTGGGCGCTCCCACCTGCGCTGCCGGTGCCCGCCAAAATCCAACGGGGGTAAAAAAGATGGACAGCCCGCCCCGTTCCACGCCCCCCCCTCAGCCTGTGGTTCGGCAGCCGATATCATCGTCACCTCCCCTCTTGTTACTTCTCCTCATCCCACCCTCCTCTCCTCCTCCCTCCCCACTCCTCTTGTAAAATCAAAAACAATGTCGACCGCTATGGTTTCCCAGGTTAAGGGCTTCTACGCCGCCTCCGTCTCGGAGAAGAAGGCCCCCACCGGCGCTGACCTCTACGCCCGGTAAGTCGTCAAGTTTTCTTTGCTCAGCAATCATGTCCGACAGACGGAAGAGAGATGTGTGTGCAAAAACGCACAAACAACCCACTCCGTCTCGGAGTCTACGTTCTCGACCTGAAGGACATGAGCTGCATAGAGCAAGGAAACCAAAGCAAGCATGCAGGTGTCTGACAGCCTCTCAGTTTCGCCCTTGCCGGTGCCCTCGGCTGTGCCATTACCCACGGTGCCCTTACCCCCGTCGATGTCGTCAAGACCCGTATCCAGCTTGAGCCCGAGGTCTACAACAAGGGTATGATCAACGCCTTCCGCCAGATCGTCAAGAACGAGGGTGCCGGTGCCCTCCTCACCGGTCTCGGCCCCACCGTCGCCGGTTACGCCGTCCAGGGTGCCCTCAAGTTCGGTGGATACGAGTTCTGGAAGAAGCAGGCCATCGACTACCTCGGTGTCAAGAAGGCCTCTGAGCACCGCCAGGCCGTCTACCTCGGTGCCTCTGGTATCGCCGAGTTCTTCGCCGACATTGCCCTCTGCCCCCTCGAGGCCACCCGTATCCGTCTCGTCTCGCAGCCCTCGTTCGCCAACGGCCTCGCCTCTGGCTTCCTCCGCATCGCCCGTGAGGAGGGTATTGGCGGCTTCTACGCCGGTTTCGGCCCCATCCTGTTCAAGCAGGTCCCCTACACCATGGCCAAGTTCGCCGTCTTCGAGGTTGCCTCCGAGAAGATCCTCCAGGGCCTCGGCCGCACCAAGGCCTCGCTTACCCAGGGTGAGCAGACCGGCCTCAACCTCGGCGCCGGTCTCATCGCCGGTATGGCCGCTGCCGTCATCTCGCAGCCCGCCGACACCCTCCTCTCCAAGATCAACAAGACCAAGGGTGCCCCCGGCCAGTCCACCACCTCGCGTCTCATCGAGATGTCCAAGCAGCTCGGTGTCAAGGGTCTCTTCACCGGCATGGGCGCCCGTCTCGTTATGATTGGTACGCTCACTGCGGGCCAGTTCCTCATTTATGGAGACATTAAGCGTATGCTCAACGCTACCGGCGGTGTCGAGATCGCCGCTGTCCCCAAGTAAGATAGACGACTCCTCCGCGCCGATTTTTTGTCGGTTCCGGTCCTCCCCCACCCGACCACACCCAAAAACAGGCCCTAGCTTAGTATCATTCTTGTCTTTGGGATATGCACGACCACGTACGCATTTGTTAGCCACCAGAGATGCAGCTGCACTGGACACTACGGAGAAAACTGATGCAGAACCCGTGCAGTTGGAGGAAACGCGCTCGAACAGAAAATCAAAAAGTGGACGCCGCGGAATCCGCTAGTGCCAAGCCCGCCACGGCCGCATCGGGATGTATGACGCAAGCCACTGCCGAGCTCGGGGGCGACGTCGTCGCCAGTATGCAGCGTGCACTATCAGTTCTGCATCACCTGCCCCTATGCTCGTGCTCATGCTCGTGATCAGCTGTGCATGCGACAAATGTCTACTGAGAGCTGGCAAGTGACACCGTGTGACGATCCCCGATAGGAGCGGTTCGGTAAAATGCCTCGGAAGCCGTGGGCCGCTGATCCGCCCCTCTGCCCGGTGGAGGCGTCAGGCTGACAGGCGGCTTAGGCGGCAATCTGCGGTGGGAAAGAAGGCACGTTCGTCACTGTTCACGCTACAAGAGTTGGGGTAATCTCGCGTGGAGCGGCCTAACTTATTCGACAGATTCTAATTCATCGCCGCATTGCAGGACTTGCGACACGAAACGCGTCCCGTATCTGTGGACGAGTGGGACCGCGTAGGAGTGGGACGCGCTTGATGTCGCCGTAGGAACCTGCAGAAGGCCGCCTAGACGTACGGGGACATAAAGCGGGTCCCAGGCGGACGGCACAATGGACGCCCGGCGTCCTCATACATGGTCGCCGCCATTCGGCGGGCCGTGTCGACGCCGCAACTCCGCTCCGACGCGGCGTCCCAGTACCTTGGACATTGGGGTCTTGACCGGGTGTCTAACCAAAGCTCCGGGGTTTATGCGAGCGTGACCTGTCCTCACTTGACACCAACTCACCTCCTGTCTGCTCCATTCAAACTCATCCGGACCTCAGACACCTCCGCCGCCGGCTGTGAACTCTCAACGGCATGCCACGGGCGCCGTGTTGACGGACTCACAGACACAGGGCTCTGCGATAAGCTCACGGCAATCCTTTCCGCCAGCTTACCTGTACGCGAGCCTCTAGCTCATCCCAAGCCTACGATAACGTCTCATCAACTTAGGCGCCGGCAATATGTGCTGTGAAGCTCGGGGCCAGTCTCCATCAGCTCTCCATCGGCTCCCCCTCTCACCAGGGATACGGGCTGTGATCAGTTCCGACATCCAAGCAATTCTCTGAACTTACCCGCCTGGAGTTAAATGCATCAGACTTGCCCCGGCCTGTTATCAGCTAACTGGGAGGGTAATCAGCTTACCCTCTCTTATCCCCCGCATTCAGTGAAGACAACGTCCGCGCCAACTTGTCGACGATATTCTCAAAATGTGGCGTGGAAGCTGGGAGGAACGAGCCGAACTTTCTACCCCGGATGGCCAGCGACTCAGGTTTGCCGGGTTCGCGCTCGGCCTGGGGCAGCAGCCCAAAGATCACTCTATGATTGTCAACTTCGGGCCCCAGGAGTGTTGCCTGCGGTTAGCTTTCATCACATGGAACTTATTCTTAGCTCACGTCCAGCCCGGCGCGTCTACCCTAGCAATCGTCGCCTGCTGTACTCCGAGGAACATGCAAATACGGCAACTGCTTCTCGCGGCTCACGGATTCGGAGAGGATGTTCTGGCGCGCACCCTGCCCAATCCTAATCTGCGCTCTGCTCTCCTTAATTGGCTTCGAGCTAAACTCGACTCGTTTATGCATGGAGCACATTGACGGGCTGTCCGAACCGAAGGCCGGTCCTGCTATCAGCTCTGGGCAACGGCCCCCAGCTTGCCTTATGACCTCACCCGTGTGCCACCAGGGTTTCTGATGGTTGGGAGCGGATGACGACTAACAGTTTACCTCGCTCACGATATGAACAAGCCGTCGCTCGAAGTCTCCCGTGCGCGGCTGCCGTTGGCTCTGAGACGATGAAAGCTAAAGCTAGAGCTCACCTTTGTTCCAACGAATGTCCACAGGGTCGGGCTTGATATGGCTTTGTCTGCCGTGAGCTGAGCCAGACAACGAGCAGCTCACACGAGTTGACTGATATCAGGTTCGCCCGGGTTCAAGCATCTCACATCTCACTGGTTGCAGGTATTCTGGAATGCTTCGCGGTTGATCTGAGGCCAGATCCATCTGACCGTCCTTCTAGCTCACTCGTCCGTCGCCACAAGTTGAAGTTCTGCCCAGACTGATGTCAGCTCAACAAGTCCTGCCCATCAGCTCACCCCCATCTGATTCTTTCCCAAGTCTGCTTTCCCTTCCCCGAGACACGATTCAATGCTGGGTGAGGAGAGAACTGGGGTCAGCTGCAACACAGCGGCCGTGGTAGCTCACCCTGACTCTGTCATGTCACGATCGTCACTACCAGAAGAGGCTGAACGCACACCGGGGTCTTCTGCCGGTACACGGAGTGAGAAGACCTGCTTCAGTCTGAAATCAGCTATTTCGCCGTAGCGCACGCCAGCTCACCACTTGTTCACCGCTGGGACGGGTGGCGAAGAAGGCGTGCAGACAGTTCGGCCCCCGGGGTACCGCAGCACAACTCACCCCCAGGCTGTCTCTGGCTACTGGCATGCCTGCTAACGCATGGACTTTGGCGAGATGTAAGTTGGTGAATGAAGAGAAGACGGCGAGGAAGAAGGGTGAGTGGGTGGTTGGGTGAAAGGGAGAGTTGAGTCACCCTCTGTCTCAGACGTGCCACGCGGCTGGTCTGATCACACCGTGGATCATTACGCCCCCGGTCACAGATCGAAGGCACGACATGCACACCATTCCTCCCTGCTTCCGTAGACCAGAATACTGCGTAATACTGCGTTTCTGGTGGAAGCATAGCCCAGTGCGAGATGCGGGATGGTGTGGTGCCCGACGCTGCAGCGTGCTTGATGTCACCGTACATTTCGGCCGCCACAGGGTCACACAGTGGCATCGAGATGCTGCACTCTGACATACGGGGGTCCGAGGCTCTCTATTGACCGCGACTACCCAACGGATGGTATCTCATCGATAAGCTGGCTAATCATTGCATGGGTCTATGAACAGAATCGAATCTGATTGCGTAATGCGTCCGGTCTCAGAGCCACCAGTCCAAGTTACAGCATAGCTTCGGCCCTCGGGCGACGAGGTTGAGGCAACAAAAAAAAAAAGTCAGCTCGACAGCGCAACTTAAGCTAATCATAGCTGACTCTGGGCCAAAAAGATACGTGGTTGCCGTGAGCTGGAGAGGTAGTGGAAAGCCCACTTGCAACCACCATTCCCGAGTACAATCAACTCTGTAGTGAGCTGGGGCTGATGCATTGTGACACCGCGCTTCACCTGCAAGACTCTTGTGAGACTGCCATCAGTCGGTGAAAAGCGGAAGACAGCCTAATCTTCGGAGCCAGGGTGAGTGACGATGTGGTCAGACATGCCCAACGCCTGATGTTAGCTGGATCGATCACGAGTAAAGCTCACATCCATTCTTAGGAACATCGAGCCGCACAGGCGGGGAGTTGCAGTCCGTTTCACACAGCGCTTCGGCTGACTGTTGTAGTTCAAGTGGCCAGGTGACGAACGCACAACACTGTGCGCCTCCTGGTGTCAGCTGGATTGTTGAGACACGGGAAGCTTACCAAGCCCAGCCAGCGCCACTCCCTCCCCGGCCTTGGGTCAGCTTCTAAATGGAAACGTAAGCATACTGCGTTGAGTCGGCGGGCATGGCTTAGGCGAGGTCGATCGACCGCCTGAATTCAGCTCGGCCAGCAACCCCTCAGCTTACAATGCACGCGGTGGGAACTCGGACTGCAGGTCAGCTCAACATACAGTACGTCGCGAAACAGCTTGCCCGGGGCTACAGCCAGCTCTCGGCCCTACCCACAGATCTTTTTCCGCTCGATGCCTAAGTTTCGTCCTCACTAAGAGAATGAAGAAGCAGCCGGACCTCCGACCAACAGCCTAATGGTGAGACTGATCCCTTACTCCTGGTCTTGCTGGGGCGGACGAAGTGTCCTGAGTTATGCTGGGTATCGACAGCTTGATCCCAGTGTGATGTTCTCGCCGCCGCTTCGATGCAGAAGCGTCTCTTTTGGGGTTAGCTGGGGGCCCGACGCCATTTCAGCCCACGGTTCTTCAGACTGACAGTGGCCAGTCGAACTGTGCGTGGCAGTTCTTACCTCATTCATTTCTCCGGCGCTCTGGGACACTGAGGGCAGCTAGTCGCCGGTGCTAGTCAGAATCCATTGACCCTATCTGTTTTGAGGACGCAGCGAGATAACCCTGATGTTAGCTGAAAATACCTCGACAGCAGCCTACCGTTCCCCTAACCGACGAGTAGCGAACATCGAGCCGCAAAAGACTGAGGCTGAAGTCAGTTTCCACATGCTCTGCCAACCTCACTAGGGACTGTCGTCAGCTTTCGAGTGATGCTGGAGCTTACATGCGAGCGGGTGAGCGGCGAAGGCGAAGGAAAAGGGCTGCTGGTAGATCACATTCCAGTCTACTGTTGCGTCAGCTCGCCATTTCCACCAACCTAGCTTACGTGGGAGGCCTCGGTAGCAACCGTGAGGCAGCCGAGGACAGCCCGTCGAATTGCTGAGCCGGTAAGCAGGGGAGGCTGGAGTGGGATGAGCCGCCTCTCCGTTTCGTTCCGACGATGAGAGGCGTGGCAGAGTGCCACTTCCAAACCGAGCCTTCCTCGGCCCCTGCATCTGCGCGAGAGGACAATTGCTCATCGGACAAGATACATGCACCGGCGGTACTGGCGAAGTAGTATGCTTCACTGCGCAGGAATCAGCCTCGGTACACATGTAGAGGAAGCTCACCCAGGTCCGATGTGCTCCCTAGCTTGTCATAGCTGGAGTCAGTTAATAGACGTAGCGCTAACTCACTAAGTCCCCAGTCACCGCCATGGCTCTGCGATCAGCTATCAGTTCACAGGTGTTACATAGCTTGCTCACCTCGATCCGAACCGCGTGCCGAAGAGTCTGTGTCCAGTGTCAGATGACAACTCCTTGGTCATCTCACCAACTGTCGCCTGCTCTGTTACACATCAGCTTCGAAGCGTCTATGCCAAAGCTAACTTTATTCCCAGTGGCACTCTACGGTCAGCTGTCGTAGGACGCTGACCAGCAAACCGCCCGCAATCTCGGATTAGATGCTGAAGTCAGCTTTGCGTGAGGAGTATTCCAGCTCACGGTCGCAGCTCTTCTGACCCTGGCCCTTCGAGGCGCTGCGAGTAGCTATGCGCCGACGAGAGCTTACGTCTCAGCCTACCGTTAACTGTGTGGACTGCCTCAGCTTTTCCCGAGGATAAGCCCAGCTCCGTCCAACCCGCGAATCTGGTGTTGCTCTAGCCAACTGAGGACCTGGAAATGAGCTCGACCTGCTCGTAGCTAGCTCACGTACCGAGCTCGATATGGCACACACTCATATCAGCTTGAAAACGGCGAGCAGCTCACTTACCCCACCGCCCTCATGGACCGGAGCAGCGGCGGCCTGGTGTTAGCTCGAAAGCGAGCGTCTTTCAGCTCACCCTTCCCCGCTCCTCTCTGGCACGAGAGCAGGGGATGCTTCATGTCGATTCCAGGGCTGGAGAAGACGTCTGAGATCAGCTAGTGGCGGGATAGGCAAAGCTCACATTCTTCCTCCTCCACGCCCAGCTCAGCTGGCAGCGGCGAGGGGGACAGTGACTGTTGTCAGCTGGCCAAGGTCCACAGCTCACCCTGGCCACCATCATTCTCGTTCGCCAAGAAGCTAGTCTCTTTCTGGAGTTAGCGATGCACGAAAGAGGGGAGCTCACCAGTGAGGGACACAGTTGGTGGCGAATGTGATCTGTCGCCAGCTCTCGGCTCGCCGTGGACCAGCTCACCCCCTAGCTCAGGCCTGAGGTATGCTCTAAGTGGTGGAAGAGGACTGCCGTGTGAAGGTACCGAAGAAGGAGAGGAGCAGAGACGTGATGCTGACGATGAGAACGAGCAGCTGAGTCACCTATGACTTGCCACGCCGTCAGTCCGATCGGCCCAGATCTGAAGTCGGCTGCTACTCACAGGTGTAGAACAGCCCTCCCTGAACCTGTTTTAGGTCCTCCCTGGCTCGACAGGGCTGCAGTCGTGGCTGCATTCCGTCGAGCGACATGCCCATAGCTCACCAGCCCGCTGGCGCCGTCGTGACAGGTCTGCGATCAGCTGACCCCACGTGTAAGCATGCTCACCTCACACAGCCCAGGTGCCAGGGTGTCGTCTCTGGTATCAGATCGAAACTCCTTGAAGACCTTACCCACATTCATTTGCTCTGTGATCAGCTACAACCTGTCTGAATGGAAGCTCACTTGAAGGCACCACTAATTCCTGAGGGACGCTGCGGTCAGCTTTCCTTGTACACAAGCCAGCGTACCGCTCAATTGGAGTTTCAGAGGCTGGAGTCAGCTTTCTGAAGGGGGAAACAAATTTCAAGCTCACTATCAAGATTCTTCTGATGTTACCTCGATGAAGGCGCTGCGTAACAGCTGTGACGTGCTGTCCCGAAGCTTAAGCCTCAGCCTCTTGTCGATTATGTGAACGGCGGTCAGCTAGCCTTCTGAAATGCAAGCTCACTGTGCAGCTTGCATCTGCAAATTGCCATCCGATGCGAGACCTGAGGTGAGCTCAAGCACGACTGTCATCAGCTCACAGTTCCTGCTCGATTTGACTGGGATGCACTGGGCGTCAGCTCGACGCAGATGTGCGGTAGCTCACCCTCGCCAGCGCCATCGTAGACCGGAGCAATAGCCAGCTGGTGTCAGCTCGTTCACATTCCCCCCCAGCTCACCTCGTTCAACTCTGGCTCGAGCCCATGGACGAGCATGTTCCCGCGCGTCTCCTGGGTGTTAAGGTCAGAGTCTGAGGTCAGCTAATATTCCGGGGAGGGAAGCTCACACTTTCCGTTCCCCGTGGCCAGCCCGGACTGGCAGCGACGAGAGGTAGAATGACCCTCATCAACTTTGCTACCGAAGTACTGCCCACCGTGACTCTTGTCATCAGCTAGAACCCCGAGACTCTAGCTTACCTTCTCCTGGAGTCGGCTCATCGCAGCAAGGGGTGAGCTCACTGTGCCGTTTTTGCCACGGAGACGGATGTCGAGTCACATCTGTCGTCAGCTCCAACGTGGGAAACGTGCAGCTCACCTCGAGTTCTTCTCGCTCTGTGTTCTCGCTTGAGATGTGCTCTGAGTCGTCAATCGCATATCACAAAGGATCAAGGTACATAGACGGGCTGGCAAGTAATGCGCGGGATGTACGGACGATGAGTGTTGCGAGCTTTGCCACGCGGGCGTGAGAGGTGGCAGATAGGGCGCAAGTTGCTTTGGCCGTAAGCTGCTGCCACCGTTGAAATTGCTGATCTTGGTGTCTGGTATAGACGCGAGAGCCGAGCAGGCCGATACCTGTGTTAAGTTGGAGGAAGGTGCAGCAACTCACTATAGTGAACTTCAGCTGACGAAGACTCGAGGCTGCTTTCAGCCATGAATCCAGATCAGCAGCGCACTTCGACTTGCCGTGTCTTGTCAGGTAGATCTAGGCGTAAGCTCGTCCCTACAAAACCTAGCTTTTAGACCTCCAGCCGCATGACTCACTCGCGAGACTGTCATTAGCTCTTTGCGTCCCGAACAGCATTCGAGTGCCGTCTCAGACTCACCTGCCCATCGAGGATCTCACCGTTGGGAATGGGCACGATGGTCGTAAGAGCGCCGCCTGGAGTTAGCTCGCTCGGTTCAACGAAGCTCACGTTCGTTCGCGCCGGACCTTCGTTGCATCGTCAGAGTCGGTGGCTGCCGTCAGCTGCTCGTGGTGATCCCAGCTTACAAGCCAACCCTCAGAAAGCCGGACAGTCCACAGGCGCGGCGAGCGATATCGTCTGCAATCAGCTTGTGTAGAAGCCTGGGAGCTCACCGAATCCAAGCTTCATCCCCGCCAGCTGTAGTCAGCTACTAACAGGAGCGCAGCTGGTGATCTTACTTGTAGAGGTCTTGCGGTCGCGCCCTGTTCACGGCCTGCTCACGCGCTTGGAGTCAGCTCACAGAAGGTACGTGTAGCTCACGCTCCACGCAGCCGAGGAAGGGGACTGCGGGTCAGCTCGACTTCGACATATGGTACAGCTCACGGCCCCGGCTGCGATCAGCTAGGGATAAGCGGCGCCAAGCTTACCTCCCCTGCCTTCCTTCCATCGCATATCGCAGAGGGGTGGGGCCTCGCCTGTCATTAGCTGTACTCAAAACATTGCCAGATACCTGGGCGTAGGTACGGTGAGCGGGCTGGTATCAGCTACCGAGAGTTTCAAAGCCCACTGCCTGGTATTGTATATTGCATACCCACTGCTCATCAATGCGAGCACGCCACGGGCTGCGATTAGCTACACCAGACGAAAATGTAGCTCACTGCTCCAAGCTGGGCGGACTGAGGTCAGCTCAATGCACGGCATTCGGGAGCTCACCCCTGGCCTCTGATGTCCGCGGTCCAAACTGCGGTCAGGTCTACGTGATGCCGCCACCAGCTTACACTCTTCCCCTCTGTCATCTTGCGGGGTGGTGCTGGCGGGTGACGGGTGGGAGCTGGGTTGGTCTGATGTCAGCTCCGACGACGAAATCGTAGCTCACATGGCCTCCCTATCGTCGTTCTTCGTCGGACAACGAATACCCATCAGCCTCGGCCAACGCTGGGGTCAGCTCTGTCGGATCGCGGTAGCTCACTCGGAACTGCTGTCAGCTCAGTGACGACGTTGCAAGCTCACGCCCCCATAAAGGCGGCGAGGGAGCGTCTGCTATCAGCTGGTTTGGCCGCCCGACAGCTCACCGCCCAGTCGACTGTTGCGTCAGCTACGCATGCTGACGAGCCAAGCTCACCTCTCTGCCTACTGCTGCGTCAGCTGTATTGGAAGAACTTATGCCTAGCTCACCCTTCCACTCACGCTGGCAAGTGTGTCGAAGTCGAACTATTTGCCGAGGACAGAGGGAAGGGTGGCAAAGCAGCTGACTGGACTGTACGATGGAGAGATGGGCCGAGCTGGAAGGCTCGCGCCCTGTCACCCGGAAGCAGGCGCAGATCGTCTCTTTCGAAACGCACATTCCTTCCTCCACTGATCTACGCCCTTGCGCCCTGCGCAACTGCGTAACGTTAGCCGGGTCGGATTTCCGCGGTGAGCGCGCACTGCGTCAGTGAGGTTGTTACTACTCGAAACCAAGTTACATATGGCGTTTTCTACGTTTAGGCTACAGACCGGCGGCCGCCTTAGGGCGAGCAGCGCGGTGCTCAATCGATATGAGGATGAGGTTGAGGTTATGCTGATGAGATGAGGGGTCTAGTTCTATTACTGTGCCGGATCGAGAGATCAAGAGGGAGGGGCAGGGAGCTAGGCATGGAGGTAGGAGGTAAGGTTAGAGAGGAAGGTGACTATCGCGTGACCTTGGCGAGACGCCAGAGGAGCTGTGCACAATCGTTGTCAATCGTGTGCTGGGAGCCGTTGTTCTCGAGTCGCGAGGCAGCAACGACGACGAGATCGAGCACACCGCGGTCGAGCTTGTTCACGCGGTTGGGCGAGTTGAAGATCGTCTCGAGCATTTCGCGCGCACCCTGTTCAGGGTTCTCGCTCGGCGGGGGGAGTTCTTCGTCCTCGCGCGCGATCGCCTGGCCGCATCCCCAGACCACGAGCGTCGTGAGGAAGACCGCCCACGGCGTGTACAGTCCCCACTCGGCATGGAGAGTCTCTCGGAGGAAGCGCGCCGACTGCCACAGACACGTCCAAGCGTCACCCGTAGCAACCCAGAGCTTGAGGCGGCGGCGTGCGTCCGCGTACTGCTTCGGGCCGATCGCCGTGCCGCATACTGTCGAGCTGCCCGCGGCAACCTGCAGCATGGGCAGGTCGGAGAGAATCTGGATGATGCTGATGGCGATCCAGTCGCGGATGTCGCGTGTCTCGTTGCATGGCGGGAGACCGTTGATCGCCATCTCATAGCTCGCCCGAAGCGCAACAACCGCCTTCAGGATGATGTTGCGCCAGTGCTTCGTGCCGTCGCGGAACTTGATACCCATGCCTCCACGGGTACGCGAATCCCATGCGATGGCGCTGAGACCGACGAGGATAAGCATGACGCTGAACGAGTTGTCCACGTCGACCTTGAACGCCTGCTGCCCGCCCTGCGTGTTGTCCACAGACAAGGCTTGCAGGATCGCAGGCGAGTAGCCGCCGTCTCCGGGCTGATGGTGCGCACCCTGGTGGTGGTTGAACTCGCCGTGCGTCAGCGAGTAGTGGTGCCGGGCGTGGCGCGAGTTCGGGTCCGCCTCGCGCGCGCGCAACCATTCGGTCGCGCTCATCGCCTCCCACTGGCTACGCGGCGCGGGGAGGTTGATGTTGTGTGCGAAAATCGACAGCTGGCGGGACGGGTGCTGCGACCAGAAGGTACCGATCTGCGTGTCGAGGTACAGGATGCAGTACGCTGCGCGGCGGCGCTCCTCATCCTTGGCCCAGTTCTGCCAGGCATCGCTGCCGTGGTGCTGGTGGTCGGACGGGGTCTGCGCACCGATAGCGCCGATACCCTGCATGCGCGAGTGGGCCACGACGACGGGCCACATGCACTGCGCCGTGAACAGCGTCTCCGTGTCGCCGTACCAGACGTCGTAGATGTGGCAGAGCGTGTATGCCTGCAGCGTCGCAAGCTCGACCTCGAGGCCGAACCGGTCCTCGTAACCCCCACTCCCCCCTCAATCGGCTTCGCCTCGCCTGCGGCTCGCCTAGTCGTCCTCCGGGGGCGGCGGCGGGGGCTTGATCTTCTCCGCCTGCCCGAACGCCTCGCCCATGTCCACATCCACCATCCACTTCTCCCCGTTGATTTCGGCCTGCAGCTGCCCAGACAGACCGCCCCAGCACGCCCGCTCGGCGTACTCCAAACGCACTAGGCCCATA